ATTCTTCCTGTTCCTCCTTTTACTGCCGGCTCTCCTTGGGCTGTCTTTGATCATGGCGCCTCTCTCTTGTTTGGCCGGACCTGACAAGCAGAGCAGGAGCAAGACGGATGTCAAGTCTGACCTGGATACCCTCTCCGCACTGGATGCCATCTTTTCCGACAGTGGGTACGAAAGTGGCTCCGTCAGCGAGGGCGAAGACGACGACGAGGGCCAACTCCCCCCTGAACACTACCTGGCCTTAGCAGAGAGTCTTGATGTCTCCCAGCTTCGACAGAAGCGGTACAGCCCCAAAACCCAGGAAAAACTCGATGAGATCTGTGATTACTGGGAGAGGTAGGCAGTGGCTCATTTGAACTTTGAACCGGGTTATAAGCTCACCAGTGATGCTGGGTAGGTATTGTCGACACATCAAAGCTAACGCGGAGTGGCAATGATTCTGAATCTCAGATATAGAGGAGACAGTTTGCTTCCTGTATGAATTCTTTAGTTGGCAGTGTGACATCCATCATGGGAAGAACAATCAACACTGTCTGGGTATTCAATGCAAAAGTTCACTGAAGACATTTTGGAAGTGGTGGCACCTTGTCCTCAAACAGGAAACAGCATCTGGACTTGGCAAAGATACAATTGTCAAGGTGGAAGATGTGAGCATCTATACTCTCTCTCCTCAGAATACTAAACCAGAAGTGCCATTAATCTCCTGCAGATTGTTGCACGGGTGGCCACAGAAAAAATGCTGGTGTTTGTTGAGTGGTCAAAGAAGAACATGTATATTGAAGACATTGCTGAGTTTGCTCAAAGTGTTCTCATCACTACTGAGATGACATTTGTCTGTGGTTGACAGTGTATCCAAATACTTTTCTTCTTGCAACTTGCAGTCATCACTGCAAGCCGTCCCTCAGCACTCCTTCACCTTCAGTATTGAGACATAGTGTTAACCCTGATTCAAGTTCCAGACAGTGGACGTCCCCGATTGTTCATATTCTTAAAACCAGACTTCACTAAAAGATTTCTTGGAGATAAGGCATTGTATGTGTTTCTAATCCTCACAGCATGGCCTGATTGATTGATGGAATTGATCGGAATGAGTTTAAAGTTCTGGAAATCATCTTTGACTCAACTCAGATTCTCAGTCCACATATCTGCCTGCTGTCTATGCTCTTTTACATTGGAGGATTTAAGTCGATTTCAACAACTGGGCCGGTGTTGGATTCTGCAGAGAGACTCTACAGTGTCAGAGTGTTGGATGGTAAGGGACAGCAGAAGTTACTACTAAAGAATGAGTTACAAGATAAGTTTGTGTTTTGCCAGACTGAGCAGACGCTCACTGAATTTAAGATTGTCTTGAAGAAGATGATGAAAGCATCTGTGGTGAGCTCTCAGATGCACCGAGCCGGCGAGATCACAGGCTTTGAGCAGGTTGCCCATCCATACAATCTTTGATATGCTGGAGCTAAGGCATTCAACAACAGTGGTAAGTAGGCCCTCTGTTCCCTTTGTGTTTCAGTCAAATCAGAGAGTTAATGATGAACAGAGGAAGTTCCAGAGGCTCTTCAGAATGTCATACTCCAACACATGGATATCCGCACCTTTGTCAAGCATTATCAGGTGGACGTTGACATGGATGCGCAGGGTATAGTCCGGAAAACAGGCTCCCAAACAGCGTTGGTGCGATTTGCCTGCTCAATGAGTGCGTCAATTGACTCCAACCGACCGTACAAGCTCTCTCCAGAGGAATCGCGGTCACTCAATTCCCTCCCAGTTGTCCTTGGCCGGCAGGCTACTGTCCGGAAGCGCAAGCGGGATTTGGAGGATCGCGAAGCTGAGCTAGAGCGTGCCAACAAGGTATGCAAGACTGCTTTCGGGCACCTTGACGACAGAGTACTCGCTGAGTCCAACCCGGAGGTCCTGGAGAAACTGGAGATTTTCTGTGATCGGGTAGCAGAAGCAAAGTCGGAGCACAACAGGTCTATCTGTGAGCTGCGTAATGAGAAGCAGCAGCAGCGGAACCGACGGATCTGTGAGAACCTTGAGCGCTATAAGAATGAGCAGCCTGTGATTGACCTTGAACGACAACTGGCTGGGAAGCTGGTGGATACCAAAGTCATGGACACCTTCGAGCACGAGGCCTTCATGCCTCCCGAGCACCTGTTGTTTGTTGACAGCATGCTGACCATGCCAGGTGCCTGCCTTGAAGCAGAGTATCAGCAGCGGATCAACACAATCAACGCGGGTGTTGCATTCTGCGGCATGGAGGAAGGGCGACCATCGCGTCGGTCCACCCAGTCCCGCAGCCGGCCAGTGCCCGATGATGACAATCCCTCCCCTCCGGCCAAGCGGCAGCGGCGCTCCGAGGATGACACTGAGTTCCTTTTGCGCCAAGCAATCGAGTCGGTGCAGGTCAAGTCTACAGCTAATCAGTCCCAGGCCTGCTTTCGGCCTCGCGTTTGCTTTCTATGCGTTGGGAATCCTAGTTGCTCATTGAAGGACCGTATTATGAAATACGCAACACCCGGATCACTTACAAGGCATTTTCAACGAAGACATATCAACCCTCCATGGCCGGCCACTGGGGTTGAGTGCAATGTTTGTGAGGGAAAGGCGTTCCCCGCCAAATCTGCGCTTTTAAGTCACGCAGAGGAGGCCCATGGAACAGTTGTTCGGGGTCACGCTCAGGAGAAACTAGCAATAGAATGTCAACGAAGCCTAGAGTACTATCTTTGTACAATAGATATATATATAATATATATAGTGAAAGGAGTGGTTCTTTCATGGCTTTCCTCACTCTTCACTGAGTCGCTGGTTTACGATGTCTGGGTTATTTTGCGCATCTTGAAGCGTCAGCAATAACCAGAATAAATCTCCCGAACAAGTTCTCATGAAGCTTTTGAGCAATAAAAGTGTTGTAACAGAAAAAGATTGGAGCTGTCTCCTTGTAAATCATTTGATGTAATTGGCTAATATAAGGTAGACACCAAATTTTCTCAACGTCTGGTTTCGGTTACTAGCTGAGTTTGAGATCCCACAGCAGAAAGTCCTTGATTAAATCATTCTACAGAACCATCAAATTCATTCTCTTCCGCACTCCAAATGGTGTGCCAAAGATCACAGACAAATGGACCACCCTCTGCCAAAAGTTCCTGGAAACATTCATTCTCCCCAATCTGGCCAAGAATTGAAACCACATAACGTGTTACCAAATTCCTCATGGCATCTACCTTCTTTTCGGAGTTTGGCGGTGTGTTCATGTAGACGAATCGAACTAATTCAATGATCCCATTCACTCCAGTGTCATAAAGCTTGAAGGATTTCATTGTTTGATACAATTTGGATAAAACCAGCTGGCACAGCGAGTCGACGCCATATTCATCAGCTAGCACATACAGTCGTGCTTGTTCGAGAAAGATAGGGGAAAAGTCTTCCCAAGGGCCGGTATTTTTAGGTGGCGTGAACGGACAGTCTAAGTTGCCACTTTGCAAGCTCGGAACCACCGAGCTTCTTGAAAATGCGTCCCGCAAATGTCTAGTCCAGACACTTCGCTCTTTATATGGAATTTCTGGGTTGTCGCAGAGGTCTTTGGGCGGCGGATCCGGCGCAGGCATAGGCTCCGGCTCCGACTCAGGCGCGAATGCAGGCTCAGTTGCAGCCCTCGCCCCCCAGGCATCCCAGTCAGTAACCGAGAGCCTCTTTTTCTTTCTTTTCGCGGTTTTTGTAGCCTTGGCTGCCCCAGCTGGCTGCTCCACAGGTGGAGTCTCGCCACTGATCAGGCGAGAAGTCGGGGGTGTGTAGTTTCGGAGATAAGCAAATTCACATAACCGAGCGAATGTGTCGACGTCAACATGTGACCAAACAACGTGTCGAGTTTTGGCCTCAATCATTTCGCCATTCATAAGTGAATTCAAGCTTGGAGAGAGCCCTGCCAAAGCAGAAGAATGTACTGTCACTTCCTGCTTATGGGCGCCAACCGTGAAGGTAAATACAGAATAGAGGGGAACAAAGATAACTAAGAACATTAAATTTAGAACATCTAGCCTTGCAACAAGAAAACTCACCTCCCAAAGACACCCTCCATCTGAAATGACGATTCTCCAAAGGCGCAAATTCGCAAAGTCGACGACTCCACATCGGGCGAGAAGAGCAATGGATTAAGTATTGACAAGTGCTCACACGAGTTTTCTGTCAAGCAGAGTTGTTGATTCAGCAAATGTGTTTAGATTTGACTGGTTGAGCTGCTGAGTCACCTCTCTGCACTTTTGTAGATACTTCACCGTGCCTCAGAATCAGCTTCTGGTCTGTTCCCCGTTTTAGCTATCACACAGCCTGGATGGAGGAAGAGGAATGCTGAATTGCTCAACCAATGGGAGCTAAACACACAGCAATGCCAAGTTGGCACAGATCGCTTTTCTGGCTCCGATTGAAGTCGCACCACGAAAACGAAGACAATTGGCTGTTGAAACAATCAACTGGTTAGCGTCATCGGATGACATCCCGGTAACAAAGGCACAGAGGTTGAGAAGCCAACAGATATTTTGTGAAATGATTGGCTCTCAGCAGATTTCCTCTTTGAACACCGTGCAGAAATCAGGCAACAATGCTGATTGCGGGGGAAACAGAGCACTTCCATCGTCAGGTGGGCGAAAAAAAAAATTTCGCCTTCCACACTCGAGTTACCATCAGTATAACCGGAAAACAATGGCCAAACAGCAGGTATTTTTGCAACAGAATCCAGTCCCATTCCAAGTTCTCCCAAAGCACAAGATCAACATTTTCAGCACCGATCGGGCCGTCATACTCAGCAAACAGTACAGAGATTTAATCATGAGTACTACTTCCGGCTTATCAGGCTTTTGCAAATATCCACCTTGCCGACATGCGAACAACGAACATGCACAGAGAACTTGTTTAGCACCAGGGTGTAGAAAAAAATGGAAGCGTTGCCAAATCGAGAACCCATATAGAATAAGCAAGAAGTGCCCTGACCATCCCGCAGTCAAGGAAACCTTAGGTTGGGCAGAAGACTTGGACGAGTTAGACGGGTAACAAAGGTGGCCTTAAGGTAATAAATTATCCACATTCATGTCTTCCTCATAATCTTTGGAGCCAGCTCTATCGGAGTCTTCTTCAAACACTTGGAGTAATTCGGCGGTGTTAACATCAACGTCAGCTTCAGGGCCTCTCATCTCTTTCAACCACTGAAATATTGCTCGGGTGGGATCTACCCACGAATGGAAGTAATCATTGGCATCGGCGAGGAGTGATTCTGGACAGGATTTGTGTTTGGTTGTATCAGGGACATATTTTTCGTGTACACTGTCACACAATCTGATCCTCGAAAATCCTGGGTCCTCCACCATCCCTTCAAGGCCTTCCCAAGACCAACTCACGTAGCGGAGGTAGTGTTCACAGTTTGCGTGACGCTGGACGTCAAGAGAACTCAACTCAAGTATAGACTCACCCGGTGGCTTCCATGGAGACATTGGAGTTGGTATTAAACGACGTTCTGGTCCTCGTGCAGAAGTGATGAAAAGTAGAAATGCCTCCTCTACTCGGGGAAGACAAGGCCCTGGTGGCACTTTTCGAGCGTCCTGCTCCGAAAGTCGACAAAAGAATGAGTGTGGCGACCCTGTCCACCAAGATAATGGTAGATTTGCTCTCCACATGCCAGAGCCGGCGAGAACTTGCATGAACTGTCTAGACACAAGTGAGGATACAGAGGCCCCCATCCATAGCCCTCCAACAGTAGGCGAACGAGCGCAACCCTGCAATGGCCGCTCTTTCGATTTCGGCGGGCCACTCTGCCAAAACTTGGTTTAACCCACACTCCGGACACATGACAATAAGTTTCAGGGTCGTATAGAGTATGTCGTAACACAGCAGCAATTCCAGCGGCACTAATTGTCATGAGGGAAGGAATTTCAGAAATGATGCCGGCAAATATGTCATCGCCCAAGGGATCACGTCTCTCTTGCGCCGCATGGTATGGGATCGGGAGGGCGGCGGGTCTGGCAAATAGACTATGTGTCGGCAATGCCAATGCTGCAAATAATGCAGCAAGTCCTTGCTGACGAAGGTCATAAGTTGCACAATAACGAGAAAGAAAGCTCAACGCCTCAGTGGCGCTGGGGGGTTTGGATGCCGTTATCCGCTCTGTAGTGCAAGGTACCAAAACTGTGAAGTCTTCACTGCCAAGTTGAATGCTCCATGGAGACAAATAATCATTTCCATCCCGTTTGACAGTTGCCCTCCAACCACTGCCATTTGCCAAAATAGAGGCCCACCAATCGGCCTCGTTGGTGCTGCATTGTATTGACCTGAGACCGGTTTTCATATGTTTGTCGCGGTTATCAACAATTGGAGCCGTTGCTCCTGTATAACTTATGCTTCCGCAGTGAGCTTCCGCCCAAAGTGCCGATAAAATAAATGCCCATGCGCAAGTGAACGCTGCTAGGTAGTTGCCGCGAGGTGGATTGGTTTCTGCCCCGTCAGGACCTCCAGATGAGCTCTGCACCCAGGAAAAGCGCCCATCCAACGAACAGTAAGTTGGAGTTGAGATGCCGAGTAGAAATTGTTCAACTGATGTCGCGTTGCCCATTCTACATACTTTCGGCACAGACTCAATGTGCCAGATCGCTCTGCCCTTAGCATACAAGCGGCCATGCTCGCCTTTGACTCCTTTCAATGATGCCGTTGTATAACTTGGAACATCCCGAAGAAAGAGCTGAAATGCTGCTGGGGCAAACTCGCGCTGCGAAGCCGCAAACTGAAAAATTCCACTCCATATCTGATGGCTCCTCTCAAAAGTAAGGTGGGGCTCATTATCGCAAGGATAAAATGTAAAAAAATCGCATTCCATAAGGAATTATTAAACGGTAATAGCTTTGAGCAAATCTTAGTGGTAGAAAATCAACTAAGGGAAAACCATCACGAACCTGGCGACCAACTTGATCGATTTAATTTGATTTACGTCATCTACACCTCCCCAGCCACCTTGAAGCGTTCGGAATAGCAGGACTCCAACGAAGTTGCCTTTGTCTTGGCATTTGCAAGGATTAAAAGAGTCAGTCATAAAGGTTGTCCCGCCGTTCCCAGTTCGGATCAGCGGACTTCATTCAACTCACTACTCCGTACGCTGAAAAGACCAGGAATTAATGATTTCAAAACTAGTCAATTACACAAAAGTGGGTATAATGATTCACAGCACAGTATTAAAACATTGATGTAGAATCATATTTAAGTACCATGTCTTCAGTTCGGAAGCCAGGGCTCTTTATCGCCAGCTGTTTGGCTAGTCCCGTCAACGGTCGTACCAAGGGACTCACTGCGGATTTTCGGCGTTTTCGGATTTCCCTGAGGTACTTCTTCAGCTGGAGCCGCAAAACTCCATTGGGCATCTTGATATTCATCAGGCTCAGTTGACCCGTCAGAATCGTCCAGGATCGGCGTTAAATCCGAAGCCGTCCGGTTTTGGGAGATAGGAGAGTGAGCTTTAGAATGTTTTTCATTTGCTGCTCTAATAAGTTCATCTCTTGTTTCTTTTGCCCAATCTCGACCATTTCGGTACGCTGAAGCTCCTTGTCGAAAGGCCTCGGAAGTATCAGTAAGGGCAAACGATCGGAGCTGTGTCATAAAATATTTGGGGTGACTATTCCGGGCATCTGGCTTGCCGATATGGGTAGCATACATCTTTAGTGTCCCTCCATGGTAAGTTGACGTAAGAGTGTAAGCATTGTTATCGTAGGTCTGCTCTTGCCGATAGGATCGTAGAGCATCCATTCCGCGGGCACCCAGGGCGCCATCGTAGCATGCTTGCCATGTGGCCACAGCGAGAGATCCGTCGGGGCCTTTTGCCTCCAAAAAGAAGTTTGGTGCCATCGGGAGATCATCCTGGGTTGATGGAATAATTCGATCACTAAGAGCTTCGTGGATTGAATGATTCAGTTGTTCAGGACGCGCGCCAAAAAAGTGATCTGGTTTGGCTGAAGACAATGTTCCATTAGTTAAGGGAGCAAGATTTCCAAATGGATATTCCCCTCCGACACAATTACGGTCACCAATATCGCCGTCAAGAACTGGAATCACTGAGGTTATAACCAGCTTCTCTTTAGATGCCTTTGCATCTGTTTCTCTAAAGTCCTCAAAGCGCTTTTCGGAGAATTTTGAGGGAGAAAGAGAGGCTCGTGGTAGTGCCAATCTTTCATGGATCTCCGCCAAGTTATCAGGTTTTGGTGGTTTTTGGCCGTCAGGGTATTTATACTCTGGGGGATAAACACTGTAGTTGATTAGATGCTGCTGAAAATTCCGACTATAGGCTGAGGTGCTTGAGGTTTTTGTCGTTGTCTTTGTGTCTCTAGCAGAGGATGATGGAGGGGATTTCGCGCGACGCTTCCGGTTAGAGCTGGACGTCCTTGAGCTCATCGGAGCTGAATACTAAGAACATGTTAGTGGCTCAGAGTCAGCCTCGGTTTTGCAGTTACATACATTCTTCAAATCGGAAAGGTCGGGTCCTCCCAATCTTGAGAGCCTTTTTATCTCCCTTAACTGACCGGGTGAACACTCGCTGAGAAAATCAGTGGGCAGGATGGGTTTCGGACCCGCCTCCTGCTCCGCCTGAAACAGGCGAGTGATGGGCCTTCGGTGCTGGCGGTCAACCGGTTTGTGAAGCTTTTGCAGTTGATTTAAGGCAGTGTTTCTTCGGTCGTGCTCTCTTATCGCGTTTTTAGTTAAATGAATCTCCGACAAATTATCCCAGTAAGAGGGGGAATGATCAAGTTGCTGTTTCTTCGACAGTCGCTCGGAAGGTGGCTCAGGTTGCTTCCTCTTGCGCGAAAAGCGAGAAGCTTCCAGTGGAGGCATATGGCGGGGCAGGCGGAGTTGGTGCCCAACCAAAAAGATGGGATGAAGTAAAGGTCTTTATATCAACCACATGCTGCCCCTGGCGCGTAGGTCGAAACATAGAGCGACCCTCAAGCACGTTCATTAGCATTGGGGCCCGAGACCCTGGGCCAATTAAGAACGATTCACTTGCTTCGATCAGGATGATTTGTCAGCTTCAACACGAACGTAACTTGATTGGTCTAGCTGGAACTGGGAATTTTCATTCAAGGGTGCAAACCCCTCTTGCGGGTTACTGGTTGATGGTCGCGAAAAATGCTACGGCTACAACGGCCCCATTCATGCATCCGTGCCTCATTTGGGTGGGATATGTTTGGGGACTAATGTTATATTTTTTTCACCCACTCTGAGTGCCGTGGAGTTTGGGCAAAGTTAACAGTTAGTGGAAAAGATAGAGGATTCCCCATGCAAAAAAGAAAACCTGTGCATAGGATCGAAATTCCATAATTTTGAATGTTCCCTGGATAATGATAGTTCCAAATTCTGGAAATTTCATGGTCACCAGGCAAAATCATATGACGCTGGTTTTTCAAAATGGATTATCCCATCCACCCAGAATTTTCTGCATGTATGCCTGACAGGTAACATATTGGATATCAGTCTTGAAAGGCTCTTTCTTTCTCTATGGGAGAAATAATAAAATATGGGGTGCGCATCTGACTTTGATTGAGCAGCCTCTAGGACACGCATCAAAATTCCCACCCCACCGAAGTCACCCCACACAAGTTTTTCACCCTTCAAAGCTCTCGTTCAAAGATTGAAAAGCGGGCTACCCTTGTCCAACTTCTGTCTATGTAATATCAAACACTTAGCCGAATATTGAAAAAAATACTCTGTTTTGCCCCCACGTTGTCGCGATTTCTCATCATTCCATAGAAAAAGACAGGAGACCATCCCGAGGTTTGATTTTGGTTGTGTCTTTCACCTTTGACTTGCGATAAGGTGAATACAGATTGCATTTTCTCCATTACCATCCGTCTCTGTGATTACTGATATGCGATAGCCAAGGCCTTTAATAGTTATAGAGAAGCCAGGTGTGTTCAAGTGCGCCTTGGTTATGGCGGTAAGTCCATCCAGATATTCGTCTTGCTCAACCACCGTTTAACTCTTTATTGATGCGTATCTAATGTCCATATATGTCCAGATAGGTGACGACGCTCTTTCAGGGAGAGAGGAAAAAGACATCCAAGCCCACTATTTCCCGCCGACCCAGCATGATAGAACTATACACTTCAAAGGCCATTACTTGTCGATATATAATAAGGAGACAGAAGACTATGCAACGCACGAAATCCACAACTATCCCACGACGGATTATAGACCCTTCACAGTACCCGCCGGTTATACCACATACGTAAGGGGTGCCAGCGTGTACTTCGAAGTCTAGGATAAAAGAACAAGCTGCATCCCAAACGCGGTGACGATATCGTATGCATCTTCGTTTCCACACCAGATAGTCAGAGAAACATCCTGAATGTTATCCTTCGGGAACAACGTGGCCAGGCAAGACGTCGTTTCCAAGTTTTGGCTTCTTTCCCACTTCCACTGTCGACTGGTCTGGAGCGCCGCTCTGAATGGTTCGGATAGTTGTGATATATTGACGGCTGGAGCATTTGTGTATATAAATCCGACCTCTACGGGTAAATGGTTAGCTGCGCTATCCGAATATTTGAAAGGCATTTTCTTACCCCTATTTTCCTGGAATCCCAGTTGTGGGTCTTCCAATTTGCGTTTTTTTGAAGGATACACCGTACTGTGGTAGGTGCCCGGTTGGTCCCGTTCACCATTGGGGCTAACTGGCTGTCCAAAGTTGAAATTGCTATGTGGTCCATCGCGCACTTGTCCTGTCCGTTGATTAGCCACGTCCAGTGAGGGAAAGCAGCGGTCGTCTTACGCTGATAGAAGACTGGTGCCGTGGATATTATTTGCTGTAGGCTCGGCAGCCGAGCTATAGCACTGGTGAGCACTGCTCGCATTCGCGCGAATGGGAGACCTTGACTCACTCATTGTAGATGGGTATTGGTTCTGAAGAGCCCGAGTGGCTCCACTGGTTATCGGTCTCAGCTGTGTATATACGGGTGAGGAAGGGGAAGGCTGATCGTTCCTCTGGGGAAGCTGAGCTTGACGCTGAGAGACTGTGTCTGACTGCCTGTCAGTGACGAATAATTGGGAAGAGTGGGTATATCCTACTGCGAAGGATCTTAAACTCCTCACACATCGGCCTCTCTTCTTCAAGCTTATCCATAGTATGCAAAATCTGAGGTGGCCAATTGATGCCTACTTTCGTCTCATCCTTCAACATCTTTATAAGACCTTTGAACACTTCTGTGCTTGATTCGGTCCATACTTTGGTGGGATAGCTTGTCAAGAGGGTGAGAGCGGCGTCAGGGTCGTTTTCGCATAGTCCACGAACGGTTTTAATTCTCATGGAATTGGATTCCATTGCATACTTTTTGGCTCTGCTGCAATATTCCGACTTTTTGAGTGGCCCAAATGCTAGCCTGAAGTTTGCGTTTATAGTCCGCAATGTATCCAGGCTGTTGTTTTCTAAGATCTTCCTCGTCGTTGTATTCCCTTGGGTGCTAAGCTCGCGAATTGTGGCCCGCAGGCGTTCTTGGAGCACGTTTGCGGCAGTTTGCGCATCGTCTTGAATCTTTGTTATGGCACTGATCAGCTTTTGGGTCAATCGGCTGATTGTTTCGGCTTGGCTCTCCGCAAGCTCTGGGGCTTTCGCAAAAGTGACGGACATGGCGGCAAATCTTTCAGCCTGCTCCGCCATCGCCGAGATAGCGTCCTCGCAACGGATGGCTTTCATTCCGATGTTTTGTCAAATCCAACTATCGGTGATGTTTGATAACTGTAAGGCAACTGAAGACAGACAAAGTTCATTGTCGGAGAGGGGAAATGTATCCTTTTTTAAGTTGGGGGAGGCCGTATTGGCTGCCTGCTTCTGGAGCTCATCGTTTCCTGTCCAGTAAATACATTGGGAAAAATATTTACTCGCCACAAAGGCAGACTACACTGACTTCACCTTCTATTCATTCGCTGCAAGTAATCCTTTTGTCAATCACAATGCAAGCTCCTCCTGCTCCTCCTAGCTTCAACACGCCTCCAGAACGCCCCGGCCATGAAGACCTCAGAGAGCTGTACCCTGCTCCTTCTGATGCAGAAGCTGTCGATGATCATGCGCCGCCTTCATCCACCCGTACTCCTCCAAACAGCCCTGGTGTGGAGATACTTCGGGAGAAATTCATCAAAACAAAAGCAAAGTCACCTGTTAAGAAAGCCACCCTTGAACTAGGAGACCTTGCAGCTCCAAAAGCATGCGAAGACAATGACAGGACGCCGTTCATCTCGCGGGGGGAACTGAAAGATCTTCTTGTGGCCGTGCTCGCTGACCTCAAGTCTAACCCTTCAGCTGCCCAATCCACAAAAGACACAGGGACCAACCCAGCTGATTCTGAAGAAGACAAGGAGAAGGAAAAGGATACAAGGGTCCGCGCTTCCAGAAGGGAATATAAAGTGGTTAACGAAGTGTAATGTTGAGGCCCATACCAGGTTCAAGAACCTTGCTGACTGAGACGCAGCTGGGACTCCAAAAAATACGAATATAAGATCACAGATTCCCCTCCGGCTCAAGACATCAGCGAATTAGATAAATACGCATTCATAGTTCGCAAACGTATTCGTGAGTAGTATATAGCCGTGGATAAGAAGCTGCTAACAAGTGTTCAGACCAAAAAACCGAAGCGATCTCAACCTACATTGACGTCAAGTCAACAGGTTTACGAAACATTCTGAGAGCCATTCTGAAAAACAACACGACAGCCGATCTTGGAGTCGACAAACCAGTGGTATGGTGGTTTTTCTCCCATGGACTGAAAGTCGCTAATGGTGGCATATAGATCGAGCAAAATTTGCTATTTCATTTCCTTCCAGAGCTAAAAGAGTATTCCAGCCCATGTGCCGCACAAGATAACCAAGACGTTGAGGCTGAGGCCATGGCTCACCGGGATCTACTGCTACAGCATTTGATGAAGGTGTTTCAACCCACCTTAGAACGACTTGCTTCCTCCCGGCGTGATCGGAAAATAGCTTTTGATCTTCTATGGGCATTCTTCAAACCAGGCGCGCTAATATATGTGACCTGCCCGTGGACCAGTTTGCCTCGCTGTATTCGTTACAGTTTCGGCGAGGAGAAAATCACGCCCAAAGGCACTATTTTCGAGGTCCATGGCCACTATCTTGATTTTGATGGGGATGTATTCGGTGAATCAACCGAGATTGTGCAAATAAACAAGTTCCGAGGAGCAACTCTTGTTGAAAATCTCCCCGCCTATCCGCTGGAATACCACGCCGACCCAGCAATCAAATCACGCCTCGTATCCAACGGTCAGAAATTTGTCTCGTTGATGGGAAGCCATCACTGCCAGTATCGGGGAACCTCCTTTATCCAGCGCAAGGATGGAATGCTAAAATATCCTGTGGACAGTAAGATCGTGGTGGATGCCAAGGTCTTCCGCGAAATGAACCCGAACTATGGCAGACTGGAGTCTAAAAGACCTCATATGGTTGACATGTTTGGCACAGTTCTAGAAACCGAAAGCGTCGACCGCATCGGATGCAGAAATCTTGATCCAAGCCAGATGCTGGAGGATGACCTGGCCCTCTGTAGTCCAACAGTGTTGGCATTTTCCCTGAATGACAAGATATGGGGTACAGATTCACATCCCATAATGTTGTCTTGATTTATACTGAGTGCGGCCTAGGTGAATTTGCTGTGGTTGCTGTGGAAGACGTTGAGCCATCCAGTTTCTCAAACACCGCATTCAACCTTTTAACCCTCCCTAAAGATAAGAAAGAAGTCATTCAGTCCCTCACTGAGAGCCGAGTCAACATATCAAGCTTTGACGATGTTATTGAAGGCAAGGGACAGGGCGTTATCATCCTGCTGCAGTAAGCTGCTCTGAACAGAAACTCACTGAACACGTGACAGCGGTCCACCGGGAGTGGGGAAGACGCTAACCGCCGAGGCTGTTGCTGAACGCCTTGAAAGACCACTCTACTCAGTACGTTTATATCAACATCAACATTTGCAGGCATCTAACTGCTTTAGATCTCATCCGGAGATTTAGATACGCAAGCTGGCCACCTGGAAGGCCAGCTCACTTCCATCTTTCAGATTGCCAGCAAATGGAAAGCAGTCCTCTTGCTTGACGAAGCCGATGTGTTCCTGCAGCAGCGGGACAACCTCCACCTGGAACGGAACCGTCTTGTTGCTATATTCCTACGCACACTTGAGTACTATCGAGGAATCTTCTTTCTCACCACTAATCTTCTCCAAGATTTTGATCAAGCCATCCTTGATCGAATTCACCTTAAGCTTCAGTATCACGATTTCGACCCTTCTGCCCGCCTTGATATCTTCAACCACTTCCTCCGTAAGGCGGGGGCAAACGTTGACGAGCAGGAGCTTGAGAAGTTTGTTCAAATTGGGCTAAATGGTCGCCAGGTGAGCCCCTACAACGTTGGTTAAGACAGGTCCACGCTGACACATTGCCCAACCAGATTAAAAACATCGTGAGCCTCGCTCATAGGATTTCTAATCACGCTGAGGTCAAGCTGTGTGCGGATCATATTCAAACGGCCCTGTTTAGCAATGGATATAGCATGCCTCTGCCCTATGATACCAGCCTGTATGATTAATGATGACCTGGTCTGTGATGTCAGCCATCGCCATGATGAATGCCTATACGGCAAGGTAGAACCAGGAATATCTTCGCCAAATTGATTGGTCAGTGGTATGTATATCTAACAGATTCTCATGGGTGGGCAGCGCATAGGCTGCTGTAAGAACTGAATTGCCGTACTCGTGTTCTGCATCCAATAATTCTATGGGTGCACTTGATTAGTCCATGCTGTGTGTAGCTCGTTTCGCACATTAACCTTATCTCCTGTGTAGAGTGAAGGGTTTAAGCATGTCCTGGATTGGATAGAAGGAAACTGGTGATCCGCTGTTTGCTATCGCGAGTAGAATAGTCTGCTAAATAATTCGCCGTCTCGTGAATTAATGGGACACTTTATTAGATAACACTTCCGGTTCATCAAAGTGATTTGTGCCATCCAAACAAGGAGTGTGAATTTATAAAAGTCTGAAAGGATCCACGGACCTCCATCACATTTGCTGCAGCCATGCTCAATCGGTCTGGCAAAGGGCCTCAAGGGTATAAAGGTTGCTCATCCCCCCTCGGAATTATTGCTTGTCCCTCCCATCTTACTTTCCCATTTTGAATTTTTTGTCTCCCGGTAACAGACCCTGAAAGAGTATCGGCCGTAATGGATTTATCAAAGATATTGCACCCTAACACCACAGGCGAGACGGGAAGCACTGAGGAGGCCGACAATAAAGCTACCATCATCAGTCCTGTGGCTGGCTCTGAGGAGCAAACATTTATCAGCAACACTTCTCTTCACCGCGGCGGCGAAGTGCAGGTTCACCGGTAGCAAAGACAAAATGGTCGGCCGACGAAGACGCATTAATTATTGAGCTTCGAGGAAAGGGTATGAAATGGGAGGATATTAGCAAGCATATCCCCGGTCGAAGCCTGATCAGCTGCCGTCTTCATTATCAGAACTACCTTGAAAAAAAAAAAGGATTGGGATGAAAAGAAGAAAACCAAACTTGCACGATTATATGAGAGGTAAGGTGTCCTTCGGAGTAGGCACTAGAATGTAAAGCTAATGAGATTAGATTCAAAGCAGACATGTGGGCCAAAATTTCAGAGGAGATGGGTGTTCCATGGAGATCGGCAGAGGCGATGCATTGGCAGATTGGGCAACATGAGATGGCAGAGCGTGCCGGCGCCAAACCTTTCACTTTGGGAGATTCATCGGAATCATCAGACCCTCAGTACTTGCAAATTGAATCCGCAACAAACGAGAGTGGCTAATATTATCCATGTCGTGACAGCAGCAATGCGCCCGTCCCTTTTCCGTACGGTATTCTGGCCACCATCTTAGCTGGGTGACGGGCGACGGTGAATGACGGCGGGTGACAGATTGCCCAATCGCCGGCTCACCCCACCCGTCTGCGAAGCCACGTGATGTTAAGCATGTTCAGCCCTCCCACTTTCAAAGGTGGAGCATCGACTATAGTCAGCTAACTCCAATTAACAAGCTTGAGCAAGACAATATTGTTTGAAAATAGGATTTGAATACCCAGTACTGTTGTATGTATCCTGCACTATTGTATTCATAAAGTGCTTTCAACATGGTCGACTCAAACCTTCCAACATGGTACTCTCGCTTGAGTGGTCTCATCGCCAAAGAGGATCGGGATTTGAATCCTGAAGATTTTGATGACGATCTCTCCAGCCTTTCTGCTCCCTCTATCGATTCTGATGCAGATGTAAGCACATGAGCATATGGCATCAGGCTGTAACCGTCATTGAGAGGAACTCTAACTCTAAACGCTTTAATCCAGGATGATGAGGACGAGGTCGATCGGGATGATACCGCGTCAGACAGATCCTACAACGGGTCGGATGCTGATTTCTACTATGAACTCAAAGCGGAACGTCAAGAGCGGAAGATGGAGCTCCAGGAGATGAGAAAATACCACGAACAGGCCAAGGACAGCCAGCGAACTTTTGATCAAGAGAAGGAGAGGGAGGTTCAAGAGATGTATGACGCTGTCAAAAATGCAAAGAAGCAGAGCGAATCACCACTCAAGTCCATCGCTGGCCAGTCTTTCCGCCTATATTCTGTGGAGCATGTCAACTATTGCTACAGCTCTGGCGTGTATCCGTCAAAGTATGTCGAGTTCTATTGTTTGGACGAGGACAATCCTTTGGACCGACCCTCGCCAGCAAGGCAAGCTGTGCAAATGCACGGACACGTCTATTTGAATTCAGACACTGACTGTGATTTTGGACCGTTCTTCCCGCCCAAACAAACCGGACTCGATGAGTTTCAATTGATAAGCATCCGCGGGAAACACAAACTCACATTTCAACTCCTCAGCAGCGACTACCTAAAACTGAAAATTCCCCGTGAAGTAGCCTTCGCGAACAGGGATACACCAACGGATGCGCCTGAGGTCTTTGAATTTGCAGGCATCCGTTTTGATAGAGAAACGGAAAAGGCCAAAAGAAAGAGAAAACGCTCCCAATCCCCACGGGAAACCTGGTTTGAGATGAATCATCCGATGGGCCGGTGGAACCAAATCTGGCTGTATTGAAAAACCACATGTGGGATTCTCACACATAGCAGATAGGATATTCCCTTAACTCAGGTCTTCAATGGCAATGCTGAGATATGAAGCAATAAGAAGTTCAGATTTGTGTGGAACTTTGAGCTGCCCGCCCGCCATGAGAGCATTTTTGGTTTAGTGCCAACAGGTATTAGATCTCTCTATCCCCAGAAGGTGGATTAAGTCGGATCCCAGCAGGATCCCTGCTAGCATTCACTCGGTCTAGCATTCATTTGGTCTAGCATTCACTCGCACTCGGTCTAGCAATTTGCTCATCCTAGCCGTGACGTCGGTCTAGCATTCTGTCGGTCTAGCAATGTGTTCATCCTAGCCATGACGTCGGTCTAGCATTCTCTCGGTCTAGCAATTTGCTCGGTCTAGTAATTGGCTTGGTCTAGCAATGTGTTCATTCTAGTAATGACGTCGGTCTAGTAATTTGCTCGGTCTAACAATCACAAACCCGCGACATAGAGATAAAATTTCTTTTCTTTAAGCCGTTTGATCGCTGGTTTGGAACGGATGGCCTCTTAGACAGCCTTGCGCTTCTGTCGTTGATAAATGGGCGCGAATTCCTCAGCTGATTTCTAAACACTTTCTCTGAGTAAGTTCCTGGTGGTTCTTGAGGGATTTTGTGAAATATGAGATTCTTTTCAAGTCACCGCGCGAGCCGGGAGGCCCGACCTATGATTATTTCACGCACAAGTGGCAGTTTAATCGAAGTAGGAGTTCTCGAGTGTCTAGGGCCCATCAGAACAGCCTCTTGTATTACTATTTGGGATATATGGCCCTGTCTGTGGACGTAGATATAGATCACAGAAGACATGATTTTCGGCATATCTTTTTACTGATGTGATGATCGGCAGCAGAAGAATGCGTAACTAGAATGAGGCTTCTATGTCAGGCATCCTCACCAGAGGAATCTTCTTGTGAGGATGCCTGACATAGAAGCGAGCCGCGGGGTTGAGTTTTGCCATGTGGGCCTGGCAGGTCTAAGAAAGCACTCATTGAGTAAACCTACTCACGAAAGTTCCCAGAGGCACGTGAATTTTGCCAAGCCTAATGCTACCATGGAAGCAATGATTGATGGAGACATCACTATACCAGATGAAGGTTAATGTACCCTAATGTGCTGTGATTGGCTCAATGATTTCATTACCAAGCACCAAAAACACAACAGGTTGCCGGGGTATATTCATACTTGACCTCAGCCTTCAGCGTGCGGATCTGCTCTTTTTTCCTGCTCAGCTCCGCACGCTGCTTGGCTTCCAGCTCGATGTTCCGCTGCTTCAGATGCCGCACTTCTGCTTTGAGCGCCTTGATCTCCGTGGACTCCACTTCAAATACCGCATGGATTTCCTGGTTCGCGGCCGCCTATCCCGGTATCAGCACAGAACAAGTCCGGGGCGGGAAGAAATAATCTTATCAGAACAGCAGTCAAGCTGGCTGTTTTGCATTTCTTCAGTGGCTGCACTGCTGTGGGTGCAGAGGCATCAGGGAGCGTGGGGTCATCAAACAGAGCCTCATACTCTGAAAAGCTATAGTCCGTATGGCGCCTTTTTCTCCATAGTTCTTGTGACGGGGAATGAAGGGCGACCGTTTCTGCGTCAGTATCATCGTCGATGACGATGATGTCGTGGGGTTCAGATTCAGCGGAGGCCATGGCTGAAAGTCTGTTGCCCAAAGGCTCGCACGGCGGGAAGGTGGCCCCAGATCGGACGCTGTGGGAGGATGGAGAAGAACAAAGACAGGTCACATCAGAGAGGCGAACACAGCCACTGACGTTCACGTTGGATCGGGTGCAGCAGTTGGGAGGTGGAAAAGGAATTGAAAAAAAGTGGATTCGGAGGGGGGAGAGCTCTCTACTTATACTCCAGAGGGTGGGAGGCAGTCACGGGGTGCTCATCTCGGGCTGCGCTCTCCAGGCAATGAAGTACAGCGCTGCAGCCAGTTGTCGCATGTGAATCACCATAGGGGGAATTGAACAGCGGCTATCATCTGGTTTCGTACTCAAGGTAGAAGAGGAGAACGCATGGCAGTGCGATGGGCAGTTGGCTCGCCCTCTCTGGTTATATACCTGTGGCTAACCGCGGGTTGCCCCTGAGGAGAAAGACAAAGGACGCCGACTGTCAAACGAGGCTCCCCTCACCTGCCTACCCAAAGGCCGTTATTGAATGGCTTGGAGAGGCCACCTTATGGTTCAGTCGATCATGACATCCCTTTCGTGTACATGGATTGGTGCTACGTCGCTCCATCCGGGGTTGCAGATGCCGTCGTGACAGCAGTGAGTTTGGCTGCACACAACCCCCTCTCTTGTCTCCGAAGCATAGACGCCCGCTGGCGCAGCGCCGATTCCGTCCTCTCTGGGAAACACCTCCCTATCTCAGCTAAGGGTCGGCGCTCCCCCATCATGCTCAGGAGCCGTGCGTCGTCCTTGGGGAGCCATCACCACAGCTTGTCCCTGTGACCCTTTCTTCTCTCACCGCGCTCCCGCTGAGTATTCCCGACTGTGTGAGGAGCTGAGCGGCCGGCTGACTGCGCGCTCCCATCTCCCCATGTTTCGAGCGCTGAGTCGGGCATGCAACTCGCCAGAGTGCCTTCAAACAGCCAAGAAAGGAACTGCAGACACTCGTCGAGCTGTACTGACAGGAAGTGGGAGCGAAGGGCGGCGGAGGAGCCTTTCACAGATGATAAAGGGGTGGCAGCATGAATCTGCTTTGCAGCTGATTCTTCCTGACTGCTGAAATCCACC